AATAAAATTATTCCGACATCATACCGAAAGATAAAAAATAACCGAGTTTTAAATATATTCAACTGTTTTTATAACACTTAAGCATTATCTAGTATAGAAATTTTCTCACGTTATATTTTATAAAATTTTATCAATGTAAATATCATACCTAACAAATCAAAATTTTTAAAATTTTGAAGATTTATTACAAACTAGCCACCTAAGGTGGCCAGCTGTCCGCCACGCTAAAGGTTTTCACAAATAAAGTTTTTTAAAACATAGCAGGAAATCTGAAGATTAGGGGACAATTAGAGTGTTCCTGTCCTGCAATTTTGTCTTCATATCCAGATGAACAGCGACAAATATATCAAACCGAAGCGTTCTATTTACGTATCGAATATGTTGCCACATTTTTAATACAAGAGTTAAACTTTTCTCCGCTTTGATAAATGTAAACTAATGCGAACCTTACAATAATTATTAATTCCTTCGTATATTATTGGTTTAAGTTGTCGAATATTAATATTTCTATTGTAAGGTTCGCATTAGCATACATTTATAAGAGTGGAGAAAAGTATATGCATTTTTTAATAGTTTTTTGAATATGGCTCTTTGAAGACGATAAAGCAAAAATTTTCTTACAAAATGACTGATAACTAAAAAACTAATCCAAATTTTTGAAAAAGAAAAAAAAAATACTTCTTCATTATGTCAAAATACAATTATGTGCCGAGTTTCGTGCCTGGCGAGGCTTAATGTGATTACATACAGACAGACAAACAGACACACACACAGCCGCGTTAATTGTTATGTATAGAAGTAGTGGAAGAAATTACATACTGCATAAATAAGGGAAAAAAATTCGTGATAAACATTACAACAATTTCACAGCATACAATAATTGTATTTATAAACAAAACTCACTATAAAATAAACTTCATCCAATTGGAAATGCAATACATTACCTTCATTATTTAGAATTAATATCGACAACCTTTTGGTAAAACACAAGTTAAAAATACATAATTGTTATTAAATAATATAATTTTTTTTTCATGACTTTAGAATTATTTGATACAGTTTGAGTTTACGCCAATTGAAAGTCTTCATTTATTTGAAATTATATTTCCAAGAGAAGTCATTAAATGCTTTTATGAAATTTTTTATGAAACCTTCTGCAACAGTTAATAATGTGTGTACCACACAAAAACACAGAACAGGGATGAATCCCACAGATTTCTCTCTCTTTCTTTAAACTTCGACACCACAATCAAAATGAGGACTTTCCGCCGAGGCAGATTTAAATTGGACCTTGCTGAATATCAACACTGACTGCTTCATTTGCTGTAAGGATAGAACTTGGAACTCCCATCAAAGTATGCAATTTCCGGCAGCCCTTCTCATGATCAAATCATATCCGAGATTCTGCGTTTGAAAACAAACAGTTTCCTCACAGTATATTTTCTTGAAGATGAAGAGTTACAGTTGAAATTATTAAAGAAAATAAATTAAACTTTACAATGAAAATGCAAAATTAAAACTGTTAAACCTTGAATATTTATTTGAAACTTAAATTATTTAATTTGAAATTTTTCTTAAAAAATTGTAATATCCTTTACTCTGGAATTCGATTGGTGAATTCCGGTATCGATACCTGCGTCAAGAAATCTTGTAAGAGCAGCACAAGGAGCAAAAAATAAGAAGGAGATTAACTAAAAGAGTTTAGAGAATTCTCAAGCAAACTATAGCATATTTTTTAAAGAAAAATTTTAAACTTCAAAACGCTTTAACCCCTTCTATTAAACCTGAAAATGACGATTCGCTATGTGGTAAGTAAATAAAAAAAGTTTCGAAAAGTGTTAAATAAACAACTGCTTAATTTTTTTCATTGCTTATTTTAAAAATCATTTAATGTGAAATGTAAAAGATACTCTAGGAATTCAGAATTCATCAATTCGTGGTTGGAAAAACCAGGTAGAAGGAGAATTTTTTAACAATTTAACACATTAAATATATTCTGCACCCCCACCCCCAAGTATTTCTACACATCGTTCCTTAAAAGTCAGTATGCTTAACTAAATTTGGTCACATGTTTGTTATTTTTATTGTTTTATTAAATTTTTACAGCCTTACATTATTTCTAATCGGAAATGTTTTAAAAAATATAACTTAATTAAAGTAAAAAAAAGTTTGCAAAATATGGCTTTTTAATGTCTTAAATGGCATCTTTTTGGACCTATTTACTTCGGTCAATAACTCATTAGGATTAAGGAAAAAATGGCTGCTGAAACATTGATGTCTGCCAGGCTACTATCTGAAAATTTAAATTTTTAGGTCCGCTTTTTAGTTGGAGTGAACATTCAGGCATATTCTGATATAAAATTATATAAAATTCAATCATTTTAATTTTAATACATCACCCAAGCTTATATGAAGCCAACAGGAAATTTTCGCATTTTTCTTAAACGTCCTTAATAAAAATTGTACCAACTTTCCAGCTTTGCTCTTCATTCTCCACAAACATCATTTTGAATAGATCATATTATCGTTTATTTTTTAATCATTCACAAATTAATCTAAATAATAATGCACCAAAAACATACGCATCAATCTATATTCAAGAAATTTAACTAAAAGTGCTTAATTTATTGTTTTACAATATTTTAAACATTAAATTTTAATACGGAAACAATATTATTTGTATTTAACTTTAAACATTCTACAATATAATGGTTTCAACTGAGCTAAAAAAAGCAGATTATAAATTTTTAATTGTTTTAACAAGGTAATTTAGTAACAGACAATATTTTTTTTTATATTTTTCATTGTTGCAGAAAAATTCTGTCACAGACGAATAACTAAGCAAACATTGTTTTACAAGCATATTCTGAACTAATTACAGTACTTATTATTTATAGTTAGACAAAACATTTTAAAAACTACTACGGGCGAGATATTTATAGTCAATAATGATCACAATTCATAATATTTACTTACTCTATTAGATATATGATCATTAAATTAATTCTTAAAAGTTTTAATTAAGCAGTTAAGGTTATAAGTACACTGAATGTTTCTACAACATCATCCTCTCTAACTCATCGGGCATTATATTACTTTTCTAGTTTATTTTTAACTAAAGGAAACAAACTTCCTACTATACTACTTTAATGTTTCATGTAACTATCCTTGAAATTTATATAAAGTTTACTAAAAGTACTAAATTATAAATACCTTAAGTAATTGAAACGATTAATCTTAGTTGACGACCACGAACAATATGGCGATGTAAATTGCAGACAATCATAAAGAAGTTACAAGTCAAAAGTTGAAAAAGTTTTTCGAGTTATATCGTTCGTGAACAGAATTTACTTCCACTAATATTTTTTTGCGTTTTCTGGCATAAAATTGCATTGGCTAAAAATGATATTTTAAGTAATATTTAATTTATTGCTTTATTTCATAAATAAATGTTTATTTATTAATAATATGGGATAGCCTTTCGCAAAAAAGTGTGGCGGGACCAAAAATAATGAAATAGATGATAATTTTAAAAGTTCGAATGAACACTATAATCTTATATATATATAATATTATCTCTAATTGAAGATAGGATTAAGGAGTCTAGTGTTTTCTAGCACGGCAGTATTACATTGCATCTTTCTAATGTTTGATAATATCATTTTGGTATCTGGATACCCCCAGATGCATTGATTTGTTATGGAAAGATGGAGGACGTTGTGACCTGACAGATTTAACGTAAATCAGTCACTATTTACTACATGGGGCGTCTTCGACCAGTGGAGATCAAACTCACGACCTATTGGACATAGGCCCAACGGCCTACCTACCAGCTACCCCGGGCCACTGATTAGCATTGTAAAAATAACATTGGAAATCAACTAGTGATGTAGTGAAAGAAAGGAAGGAATTTTTTGATTACGTATTTGAAAGTTAAAATCATGAATAGGTAATGCATTAAATATACTATAATAGGAAAAAAAAGAGAATTTTACTCGTGTCCACTGATCCTTTTTAATTTTTGCCAGCGCGGAAATGCTTTGATTTCAAGTTTAACTATTTTCTAGAGATGTCCATGGTATTGTCAAACTTTTTAATGTATTGATAGTTGTAATAGTTGATTTTAGTAATAATTGAAAATCTGTCCAGCAGTCAACAACCTTAAGTATGACTTCGGGACATCTCAGAATAGTAGGCAGAAGAAGTATTAAAATTATGTCTATAACTATCGAGCATTGAGAAAGCTTATCTCAATGCTCCGTAACGTGCTGTACTACTTCCTTACTTACCTCTGGGTCCAGAACTTGAGAATAATATTGCATAAACAGGATGCAAAGAAGTTTCGAAATGGTCAAATATCTCGAAAAATATACATCGGATCGAAAACTGAAACTAGATATTGGCATTGTTAACTAGGCATTGTTAGTTGCAAAAACGATTGGTTTCATAAGTAACTACTAGATATAAGTCAATGAGAGATGGGTTTTACTCAAACTTCGAAACTCCTTTTTCTCATTTATTATCCAGTGAGGAATTCTTGAAATGGAACTGGAAAATCAAAGGAAATTTCGAAGATACATTTACATTGGCCAAAAATTTGGAAAAAAGAGGAAGGTCAAAAGAAAAAGAAATAAATTACTCATGACGAAGAGAAAAAAAATACTTAAAAAGATTAAAAAAAAAGCTTGAAAAATATGAGGAAAAGATTAAACAAAAAAATAATGATCGAATTATAATAATAATAAAAACATCAGATTACACAATGATAAACATTCATAATTTAGAACGGACTATTAAACTGTGAGAAAAAAANGAGAATAATATTGCATAAACAGGATGCAAAGAAGTTTCGAAATGGTCAAATATCTCGAAAAATATACATCGGATCGAAAACTGAAACTAGATACATTAAATATTTTTTAAAAGCAATCCAATGATACCAAACTCCATCTTCCTCCACCCAGATGGGATTGGGTGAAAGGTTAAGAAAGGTCAAGTTATAGCTGGTAGAATTTATTTATTACAACAGTTCAATGATAAAGAACTACAAAATCCAAGCAATCATAGCGTTATTGTCATCATTTAAGCTTAAACTAATGGGCAATCATTTCGAATTTCCAGTTTAACAGTCACATCTTTTGCCTGTAATGTGAAGTAAGAATCTTTGAGAAGCTCCATTGGAATCTGAAAGTGCAAAATAATGCAATTATAAGTAATTAAAATGTAATGCATTAAAATATTACACTTTCTTTAGATGACATTTTTATACATTAATACACTAATAATTCATATCTTCAAGAGTTTTGCTGTTATTCTAGTTCCAAGTTTAGCAGTGCTAAGCTGCATGTTATAACAAGAATAAAGTATTAGAATAAAACGTTACAATATATTAAAGTGTTAATTTGATTTGATGAACAGATTAACATGTTATCATATTTTTTAATAAAATTTTTACACTTGCTTATTAATTAATTTCACTTGAAAATTATTAATTAATTATATTTTTTAGTTGATAATTGAAATAATTTAAACGCTGGGATATTTAGTTGACGGCAATCTGAAAAGAAATGGGTTGAGTTGTGACTTCGGATAAAACTTTTTTTGGGGCTATATTTAATTTTTTTCTATACTTATATTTAATATATTCTCAAGTTCCAGTCGATAGTGTAGGGTCCAGCTAGTAGCATCATGGGCAAAAAATTTTGCTATTACGTTGTTTCAGCGAAGCTCAGAAGCTCCTAAAAAAGGTTTGTGTTGATATTGGCTGCTGATGAGTTACAGTATTTTTTACTTTATATATATGTATTTATATATAAGGTAAAAATTGCGTAAGTCACCATCTGCATCAATGCTGTATGTATGCATGCATTTATATATGCATGTATTATATGGGAATTAGTAGTTAGATTTTAGATATTTATAATGTTTTCATTTCAAATAACTGAAAATCTAAAGCATTTGTTTAATTGATTATTATTGTTTGATAAACGGTAAAATTAAAAAAAAAATGTGTGCTGAAAATTCATACATCTTGATTTTACTGTAAATAAAACGAAAACATAAGACTCATACAAGTTAAATATAAAGCTTACTTTGGTTTGGGAGCATGACTTGATAACAAAGCTGCTAATAATGTACACCAGACACACTTTGGCACTCAACTGTGCAAATCTCATTCCGATGCAGGTCCTTGGTCCATGTCCAAAAGGAAGATATGTGTTGGGATCTCGTTTTGCAACCTCTTCGTCAGAAAATCTAAAAATATATTATGAAAATAAGAGCTTAAAAAGCACAATTACAATAGAAGAGTTTGGTCTGAAAGCACGGCAAGTCCAGATTCAAAAACTGATGATTAGAACAGGCGAAAATATAAACAGTTAAAGAATTTAGAAAATATCCCCCAAAACTATTTTATTAAGAAGATGTCTCACTTTACAATAGTTCTGAGCACTATTTGGAGCAACGATATTGTTGCATATGAAAAAGACGGATTAAAAACATACTTAACTTTTCATAGCCTAACATTCCCTCAATAACGTAGTACAGTGAGCTAAAAAAAGTTTTTAATAATTTTTAATTTACTGATTGTATATTCACATACTAGGACTCATGAAGGTCTAATCATAAATATGCAAATTAATTTGTGCATGGAATGTTTTAAGTTACGAAATCAGACACAAAAAGTTTTTTCCCTGAATAAACCTACCTTTTAAGACGAATTTAGATCCTTAAACTGATCTGCAAAATATGATCTAAATAGTGCAGGTAAAAAAGCAATAAAAATTATTTTACCGATTCCCTTCAAATTTTAAATTTTATTACCTAAAGGTCTGGTTTCTTAGGACAAGCGCCTGATCTCCAACAAAATACTGATTTGTTAGCTCAAGACCTGGTTTCTTAGAACTAGCGCCTTCTCTGGGCGTCAGCGGAAAGATGACGTAGAGCTGACGCCAAAGAAATACTTTTTTTGTTAGCTCAGGTGAGCAGTCGGTCCAACGCAGACATTATCTCTCATCGCGCATGCATTAATAACGTAAACAAATATTTATTTTGAATTTGTTTTGTTTTGAATTTGATTTTGTTTTTGTCAACCAGTGTTTCAGAGAACAAATAATGACTTTGCTCAAGAAAAAACACATTATAGCTGAGCTAAATGAAGAGTGCTATGTTTAATGAAGAAGCTATGTTTAATGTCAAAATCAAAATCTTGGCTGATTTCAATGTGCTGTTGGATGTTGTCCGCCATTGCTTCTGTGATTAACGTCACGTTGTAATACAACTGCAGTTGAGTTGGACGGCAATTGTAGTTCAAGATGAGCATTCGATGACGCATACTATCAAACTCCCAAATGAACCAATCAGAGGTTAGCGCTGATTTCCAGCTGACGGCGTCCTGTCCTAAGAAACCAGGCCTTAAGATTAATTTGGTGTCGAAATTTGTATACCTTAATTATAACGAATTTTTTTCTGCGTTCAGTAATTTAAATGATGAAATATAATAACTAAATATGAAACAAATTATTATTTTGCATGAGATTGCCTTGGATAAACAGGTTTTATAATTGCATGCAAGAATTTTTTTTAATCCGCTTCATTATATTCAGAGATGTGATGAAATATGCAAAATATAAGATTAATATTAAAGGACTCAGACTTTCAAACTCTCTCCTGTTAAAACTATTTACAGGGTGAGCCAGTCAAACTTGCATTTTTGAAATGATTGTAAAATATAAACGGATGGATATTTCAAAATTTCATTGTTACTATCTTAATCTAAATTAAAAAGCATTTAAGAAACAACATTCACTGTTTAAAAATAACACCAGTAAGATGGTGTCCTTCCCGATCGAGACATTCTTGTAGGCGATTTCTGAAACTGTCCATCACATCACGGAGCACAAGCTGAGGAATTCTCTCGATTTTCAGCCGGATTCTCCTCTTGAGTTCCCCAAGCGTTGGAGGCCGTTGTTCAATGACTTTACTCTTCAGGTACCCCCACAAGAAAAAATCGCATGCTGTGAGGTCGGGCGATCGGGGAGGNAATCGCAAATTTTCCTGGCTAGCTTTGTTTTTAAATAAAATTTTCATTTGTTGCAATATATTTCGCATTAGAACGCGTACCCCCGCTAATATGTTCCCGTACCCCTGGGGTACGCGTACCACACTTTGGGAAACACTGTTGTAGGCGATTTCTGAAACTGCCCATCACATAACGGAGCATACGCTGAGGAATTTTCTCGATTTCCAACCGGATTCTCCTCTTGAGTTGCCCAAGCGTTGGAGGTCGTTGTTCAAAGATTTTACTCTTCAGGTACCCCCACAAGAAAAAATCGCACGCTGTGAGGTCGGGAGATCGGGGAGGCCAAGAAATTGCTCCATTTCGGGATATCACCTGATTTGGAAAAACAATTTCACAGCGAACGAACGTTGTTGTTTAGACCACTGCTGCAAGACGACTGAAATGCTTAGTTGTGGGGACACAATGGTAAACTTGGTAACTAGCTCCGCCCACTTTTACGGCTCTCCCGCCCTTTTCAAAAATGCATATTTGACTGGCTCTTAGATTGAGACCCTCCTTTATACGTACTTTGGGAGATCAAGAATCAAATCAATTCGATGTAAGATATTCAAAGAAAGTACATTTCCGTGTCTGACTGAATTTAGAATTTAGAATTAATTTGCATATTTAGGGTTAGGTCCTCAAACTATTAAAATTGAGTCTTACTATTTCTTAGTACTTGAAAATACTTTCATTAAATTTTAAAATTGTTAAAATTTGTTAGTTTTTTTCTTGCACTTTGCACAACGTTAACAACAGGAACCGTCTTACCGGAGAGGCAGAGGGGCTTCCTCACATTTCATAGATGAGTTCTTCATTTCAGTCTTCTCACATTTATAAATATATATCGAATTCTTGTAAATGTAAAAATCTCTTGAAATTTCAAAAATGCTCGATTATAATTAGAATTTCAAAAAATAATAAATATTTACTAAAATTTATATTTCACAAGGAATTAGTTTCGGAGAAACAAATTTTATAACTGTGTGCAAAAATTTTTCGATTCGCTTAGTAATTTCTCGTGATATGGTGAAGTACGCAAAAAGTAAAATTAACATTTAGGGGTCCAAACTACTGGGACCATGTTTCCCAAATTACAGCTACCTTCTACATTTTGCGGTCAAAAATCCGAATCCATCCAAAAAACAGTATGTTTATTTAGAGAAACTGCGTTTTTCTGCCAGATTTCATAACTTAAAATACCATCTGTGCTAATTAATTAACACATTTTTCACCCTCTTGAATCATTAAGATTGAATAAGTTCTGGATGGTGAAGATTCGGTCATTGGATCAAAAGTCATTCACCGTGGTTCGTTTTTTATTTTGCGGACTGTGCTTCAGACGAATTCCAGAGGTTTTGAGTTTGTCTGTCCTACTTTCCATTAAAGTAATTGGTTACATTTTCATTTCTCAATTATCAATATACAAACAATACAGAGATGAAATGAATTAACTAAAAAGAACAGCGTTCATTCAGTATTTCATCAAAAAAAATGTTCATTCAATTTCGCTTAAAATGTTATTCAGAACTTTTAAGCATTATGACTTGATACGAAATTTAAAGACCCATCGAGGGTTTCCACAAGGGGTTTTCGAGCTGAAGAATTCCCATAACTTGAACCACTAACCAGAATTTATTATACCTCCGCAGAATCCAACTACAATGAGGCTCTTTAAGGCTAATCTTGAATTGTGTCAAAAGATGTTAAAAAAGAATACTAATACTACCATCTTGAGACCCCTGGCTTATGAAGCAATAAATAATTGCTATCCTGAAGATCTCTGGCTTCATATATTTACAGATGGCTCTCTACTGTCCAACTGTAATAATGCAGGGGCAGGAATCTCCTCAAAATTATTTTCATTTCACACTTCTGTGGGACAAGGAACTGCATTTGATGGTGAAGTAACCGCCATTCGAGCTGTTCTGCCTCAAATTCACTGTCATCTTGACCATTTCACAAAAGCAGTTATTTTTTGTGACTCTATGGCCGCACTTTAAGCCATCTGACGATCCCAAAACACTTGAAGCCATAAACTGCCGACGACTCCTTCGAAACCTTGAGTCACACGGGAAAAACATTGTCCTTCAGTGGATACCCTCCCACTGCGGAGTTGTGGGAAACGAGAGTGCAGAGCTTTTGGCCAAGAAGGGCGCCTCAATTATTGAAATTCCTTCCCGAGCAATACCATTTTGTTCCATCAGGAAAATGGTAACAAATTGCATAAAAGACCATTCCCTCATGGACCTGTTTGAAAGAGTGTTCGATAAACATTGGAGGGATTTAGTCCCAAAATCCTATATTGAGCCAAAGCGTAGAGCTGTGGCAGAATTCCACCTGGCCACTGGACACGACTGTCTTCTTAAACACCTCAGCAGAATTAACATAGCTTCTTCTCCCATCTGCACACTTTGTAACCTTGGGGAGGAAATGGATGCCGCCCATATTATGTACTGTCCTGCTTTGCGCAAGTCTTCTCTAGCCGAGCGATATTGGGAAGCCCGAGAGCTTTTGAATTAATGAACTCGAGTTACTGCTTTATGTTCACCATCTTTTATTGTATTAACTTTTCTTATTGTGCTGTAACTACTGTCCAATAAATTTGTCATTGGAAATAAAAAAAAAGAACTTTTAAGCAAACCATGAATCGGCCCATACTAGCAAATGATAAGCCGGCATATGATAAATCTAGCAGATTTTTGCCATGGCATATTTGTTAATTCGATTCTTTAAACTGTAAGAAATAAAGATTTTAAAAATAAGTAATTTACAATGTTACCTGTCTGGATCAAATTTCTCAGGGTCTGGATAGTACTTTGGATCCCTATGAAGAGCCAAAATGGGAAGCAAAATTACCACACCTTTTTGAATGTTAATGCCTGTTTCTCCAAGATTATATTCTTTTTCAGCTCTTCGGCAAACTCTATATAATAAAAATAGAACAATTGAGCTATACATATTAATGTATTAGTTTAATTTGTAAATTGTTTGAAATTATAGCAGCATGTCTTGAGTTCTAAATTACTGGAAGTACCAAAACAGTAGATCATTATAGGGGGAGAAACTTTTTTAATGCAATGGTAGAATTATAATTATAATGTTACGACAAGATTTTTTTTTCCTTTGAGAAACTAAAAATCGGTACTCACCTCATAACCGGAGGATATAATCTCAGAGTCTCCGACATGATATTATCCAAATATTTCATTTTTTGCAAAGCTTCATATGTTAGTTTCCCCTAAAAAATAAAATGTTTAAATTTGAGATAACGGATAAATAGAAATAAGAAACAAAGACAGGCTCTCGCGCATTGAAATTACAAGTAAGAAAAATGGAAAATTACAACTACAATATGAATTTATTCTAAATTTTGATCTTCACCCCCTCATACTTAGTTCAAGATGTTTTGAGGCATAGTGCGTATTCATTCACCAAATTAGTTTCAATTGGTAAATTGATGAACAGTTCATTAAGCCCAAGCACATTTTGAAGATAACTCAAGAAATGATGAATAAGATCAAGTGATTTAGATCAATGCAACATCGCATTCTGATAGAAAAAAAAAGATGATTACAAAAAGATAACGGCACGAAACTTGATGAGTTAGAGGATATCGCATCAGATTAGTTCAAAAAGGAAATAGCAAATTAGCTCTTGCGAAGTTTTTAATAGGAGATATAACCAACCTTGAAAACAATGCAGCTCTCATAATGTTTACTGAGTAGTTTACAAAATCCATGACCAATGTGTTTAGGTAGCATTATTAAAGCAGTTTTCGCTTGTTCTGAGAGGTCTCCAGATGAGGGTTGCGAGCTGTAAATGCCTTGACAAGCGTATCTCAGACATGATCAATCAGATTGAGGTCTGGAGATCTGGCTGGCCACTCCAGTGAGGTACTATCTTCCGCGTCACGGTATTTCTTGTCCAACTCAAACTTGTGAAAATGCATGTTGTCATTCATAAAAGAGGAACTAGAGACTGACAGCACCACTGAAAAATCTTAGACCTTAAAACTTGGAAAAGACACGTTGCCTTCTTGACTCCAGGTCAGAGGAAAGCCCGTCAAAATTGGTGCATACAACATCACGGGCACAGTTTCTACCCCGATGAGCCTGAATTAAGTCTGAACTCAACGCGTTCTCATATGGAGTGTACCAGACACACAGTACAACATTGTAATATCTTAACAGTTTGTCGGCTTTATGGTCTAGGATAGAGTGACGTTAGACAGCCCCACTGGAATGTACGTTTTCAAGGAGATATTCTGACTGGAGATTTAGGGTTGATATTTTGGATCCCTATAAGTTTGTTCAGAGGCACCGCTGGTTCCATGATTACTTTCTCTGAGAAAAATATGCTGCTTCATCGGGCTGTACTGGAGAAGGGAATGAAGAGGTTAACAGGTTTGCAGACCTGATTCTTGTAGGTCTTGAAACTAATTCTCTTGGTGGAGTAATTGCAACTCATCATCGCTTCTCAGAGGCTTCTCATTTTCAAAAGTCTCCTTACTAGAGCCACTGTAATTGAAGGGAATTTATTGTTTGTTATAAACTTTATGAATAAGCTCATAATCAACGTGAGAATTTAGTATGAGTCTAGCATCGTTGTCAAAGATGGTCATAATTGGCAGTAAATTACCACAAGTGCTCTTTTTTTTATCACTTTTGGTCTTCTTTGATTAACTCTTGATCTTAGCTTCATTCTATAAATGTTTTGTCATAATATTTTTTATCATAGTTTCATGAATATTCACATGAAATTTCACGTGATTTATCATCAGAAAAGTGTTTTGTTCTTAGCAACTGTCCGCCAGTGTAGAGCAGAAAAAATTATAAACCGAATATAGCTGCTGCGTTAAAAAATAAAGCTAAATGCATTATTAGGATGCAGTTTCTTACAGGAATTAAACTAGCGCTTTAAGCTAAAATAATTAATAACAAAAGTAATAATTTCGAATAATTACGTTTGTTTCTTGCAAATGCTTTGCAACTTCTTGATATGCCTTTTCCTGTATGCTTTCATTGGTAGCCAGTATGTGTGTGGTGGTGGTTAGCAACGAGGCTGTTGTGTCATTTGCAGCTACTAAAAAAGTGACACACTGGGAGACCAGTTCTTCGTGGGTAAGATCTAAAATTAAACAGAATAGTTAACAAAAACAAATGAAAATTCTTATAAAAATAAACAACGCCTTTGAAACGTGTTTGCATGCTTTAAATTCGCTGCTATTTTTGTTAGGTGCCATATGTTTTTTCTTTTATTAAGATTCTTTTATTAAGATTATTAGAAATTAAGATTTCTCGTCTATGAGCAAGTATTGTTTTTTATATTTTTTAAATTTATAATATCTCATCAAAAATTTTCTGTAAACATGATATCTGCTTTAAATGTTCCTTTTACGTGCACATATCTTCTATATGGTTGTCAAAAGCTGAGCCTGAGGGGATTTAATTATTGACCATGTCAACCTTCATCCATCAAAAGGTACCTCATGATAGAATCAAGTTTACTTGTCTTATATGCTAGTGATTTGGTGTTTAATATTTGCAGTGGTAGTTACGCTGTATACTTCCCTTGCAGAATTTTATCTATGATAAAGTTCATGAACGAATATCATAGGTTGGGTAATGTTGCTCGCCTCCGTGACTTTGGTTCACAGGTGCCCACTGGGTAACGTTAAATGAGCAACACTTCAGGCATCTTCTGAGGTGAAGAATTAGAGTTCAAGTACCTGCCGATATTAAAAAAAATATCACTAGTTGATTTATGATGTTTATTNCGTGGGTAATGTTGCTCGCCTCCGTGACTTAGGTTCACAGGTGCCCACTGGGTAACGCTAAATGAGCAACACTTCCGGCATCTTCCGAGGTGAAGAATGAGAGTTCAAGTACCTGCCGATATTAAAAAAAATATCACAAGTTGATTTATGATGTTTATTTATTTATATAAATTTTGCTCATTGTAATTTTCCATGACTTTTTTCTGTTTATAGAATTTCGCTCATTTTTTTCTTCATTTTTTATTTGTAGCATTTCTCTCATTATTTTTTTTCCTTCTTTACTGAAAGGGAGACTTTGATTACTTCACCGGATTTTTCTTTCATTTGAGCAGTATAATTTTTAAGCAAATCTACTGTTAAATGTGGACCTTCCATGGATATTGACGAGTTCATAATCATATCCGGAGAAACGGGAGTAATGTGGCGTAATTACCACTACAAATAATAATACCGAATCACTAGTATATAAGCCTTGATTCCACCATGAGGTACTTTTTGATAGATGAAGGTTGACTTTGTCGATAATTAATTCCCCAAATCCCTTCAATTTGAAGGGAATTTAATTTTTGACTATGTCAGCCTTCATCTATCAAAAGGTACCCCATGAAATAATAAAGTTACTAGTGATTTGGTATTTAATATTTGTAGCGGTAGTTACGCTAAGAGCCTAGCGTTTTGATTTGTTAATATCGCTTGAGATAGCAGTAGACTGATTTATTTATTATATTAACAGATCAGTTATTTTTAGAGTTTATTGTTTTTAAGTTATTTCTCTCATTCATTTGTTGCCCAGACAATTATAACAAGTTTTTTTTATCATAAATTAACTTTAAATCCACTATGTAACATATGTAATGTAGCGTATGTTATGTAAAGTATAGCTGATTTGTTTTTGTTAGTTTTGGAGCACCCCATGATCAGCTTGAGACTTAAGATGCTCCGTCAAGTTTACTGCGATTGTAGTGCAAGTTAATCACCTCGTCCATTAAAAAATAAGATTACAGAATGAAATAAAACTCTATACATTTTATTTGCAAAATACTAAGATGATATAAACTCCTGTTTGTGAAAATTGCAACACCACGAAGGAATCGTCATAATTGAATTAAATTTACTACACGGTTGAGTGGTAGTGGTACAAATAAATGATTAAACTTTCAAAGCAAACAAACAATAACAAGAGATCGAAATCAGTATTTTGTGTAGCCACCAAGCACAGCAATAAGCGCTGCTACACGACGTGGTATGGAGTCAAGTAAATTTTGAATGTCTCTCTGAGGAAAAACATTCCATATAGTTTGTATGCGTACCCAAAGTTCGTCTGTAGAAGCAGCAGGACGTGGATCACGAGCGAGGCACCGACCAACGAAATGACACGCATGTTCAATCGGTGAGGTATCTGGGGAATACGCGGGCCAAGGAAGAAGCTGTACTAGCAATATGAGGGCGGGCATTGTCTTGTTGAAATACAGTGCCTGGCAAGGCTTGTTGTTCAGATTACCCACAATTCGTAGCAATTGAGATCGTCCATGATATGCTATGGCACCCCAGACCATAACTCCGGGTGTTTGTCCACTGTGACGTTCGATAATGCACTTCGGAAGCGTCTGACACGAATGCGGGCATTATGGTACCACAAATTATAGCGGGATTCGTCAGAAAACACGATATGCTGCCAATCAGCACGCCAGTCCTTATGCTGATTGGCCCATTGTAGCCGCAGGCGGCTATGGTTTAGTGTGAGGATGATCCCGTATAAAGTAGTCCTTGCGTGCAGTCCACGCTGCAGTTGACGTCTACGAATTGATGAAGCACACATTGAAACACCTGTAGCTATGGACCACTGTGCTGCCAGTTGTCTAGAGGGAGCCGTACGGTCTGTCAGCGCCATGCGGACCAGGTGTCTATCATCGCGAGCTGACGTGACATTTCGGGGTCCACTCCCGGATTTCCGAGTTGTCTGACACTCGTTCGTACACTGCTTCCAAGCACGCATCACGGTGCTGCTGTTACGCTGCACACGAGCGGNGATGAAGCACACAATGAAACACCTGTAGCTATTGACCACTGTGCTGCCAGTTGTCTAGAGGGAGCCGTACGGTCTGTCAGCGCCATGCGGACCAGGTGTCTATCATCGCGAGCTGACGTGACATTTCGGGGTCCACTCCCGTTTTCCGAGTTGTCTGACACTCGTCCGTCCACTGCTTCCAAACACGCATCACTGTGCTGCTGTTACGCTGCACACGAGAGGCTACTGCACGATGAGACAATCCAGCTTCACGTAGGCCGATGATTCTCCCCCTTTCAAACTCCGTAAGTTGTTGAAATCTTACTCTCTTTCGTCGAAGAGGCATAAGTAACGTCTGAGCTAACGTTTACCACAAGCAGATAGCCACCGATAACCATACACGCCTCGCTACAGCCGTCTATTTATTCAGATCCATCTGCCGTTCAGAGGGCGCTGCTCAGCATACGCATGCGCTTCGGGTCTGAAATTCTAATAATTTACATATTATGCTCTACTTAGCATTTCCTGAAAATTTCAGCTAACTCGCGTAAGTCCTTCATGGTGTTGCAATTTTCACAAACGTGAGTTAATAACAGACACAGACATTAAAAATCAAACCTAATTTGAACAACATAATTATTAAATATCATTATCAGCTAGTGAAATTTGTTTCAATATTTTATGCTAATGTTTACCTTAAGAATAAGCACGTCAAAATATAATGTCGCCACATCATCCCCATTTCTAGTAAAAAATAATAATGTGCATGGTGTTTGTATTTTGCAGGAAACTATACACGTCTTCCAGGTCTATCAATCAAATGAATCGAAGTCGATGAATCATATATCTTTTCACTTTGGTTTTTTTCTTGATTTGGCAGTATTATATCTAATTTAGTGCCAGTCTGGTTTTCCATGAAAGAATGACATGAATTTTCCTCAAAGATATAAACTTGCTTTATTACGTCAATGCTGACCCTAACTTGTTTTCGCCAAAAATGTTGAATGTTTTGAACAAATTTGTATGACCATTACAGAGAGCTGTTAAGGAAGGTTTCATAGAATCCACTCTGAAAAATACACGTGAACATGTTTTTAAATCTTGCAAGACTAGCTTAGTCTTAGCGGAATGATTTTATGTTAATATTGGTTTCAGTAGCTGTATATGTTACTTCAGTTTAATAACAAAGTGATTTACATAAATATCTGCTTTCTCTTCTATTAAAAATAAGAATCGTTAGTTTTTACCATAAATTATTTCAGCAGTTGAGCATTTTAGTTCGTCCTTATATACAGTTCGTAAACCCAATAAAACTGATGGCAAGAGATCTCTAAATGCACGCCACATTATTGCTGCTTTTAAAGTACAATGCTATCGTTCTATTATACCATTAGAATGTGGATGATAGTACGTGATATATGAATTCTAAATATATTTGCTAAGGTGAGTGAATCACTTCAAAATTGGCACCCACGATCAGTAGCATTTCCTTTAGGTACCCCGTCCCTCGATATTCATCCACTGTATAAAGCTTGAGCATTTGTTTTTAATTTTGTGTCAACTATTGGAATAGCTTTCAGCCATCGAGAAAAACGATCCCTACTGGTTAGACAATGTGTAAAATCATTTGATGTTTTTACACATTAAACCATTGAATAGTTCCTAAAAAATCGATGTTTATGTGATTGGCACGTTCATTTTCAATCAACTTTAAATTCACTAACTGGTGGGCTTACATGACGAGTTATTTTAGCCTTTTGACATGGAATGTAACTTCTAGTAAATTTGGTTTCTTTTTTCAGTTTAAGACCAATGAATCGCTCAAAGCGACAGTCATTTGACTGACTTTAAATCCAGAATGAACCAAATATTGAAAAATCACAGATTTTTCGGTATATAAGAGTAAATAATATTCTTTGATAAGTCTCAATGAGAATAGGTTATCTGGGCTTTAACCTGAAGCTTTAAAGTTTTAAGCTGGTACTAGAATATAACAGTTCCTTTAATACAGAATAAGTTGTTTGATAATTAGCTATATAAGAATAATATAAATAATTTTGAGTAGGACTGATGGGGTATATTTTAGATGAAAATCGGGGTGTAAAATTTATTGACTAATTTTCCTTGGAGACAGCTTGATGAATTTTTGAGAAATAGCATGAATTAGTGGTTTACGATCTGTACAAATCATAAAGTCACTCCCCTCTAAGATGAAGCGAAAATATTAAATTGCTGAAATAAACGTTAACAGCTCTAAGTCATACGCGTTACATTTCTGTTCTGCTAGACTAAGTTCCTGATAAAATTTTAGAAATAAAAACCTAAAGGTTGGCAGGTACTTTTTTTATGTTGTTGGACACATACGCTCCTATAGACAAACTAGAAGCATCAGTATTTAAAGTTAACGTTGCTTTAGGAACTGGATGGGATAAAAGTGTATTAACTTTCAATGGCTTCTTACGAATACTTCATTCGTTTCGGTTGTCCGAATCAATGGAGTTCTATAATTTTTTAGTTCAGGTCTCAGCATTATATTTAAAGGTACTGATTTTTCAGTAGTTGTTGTGTATAAATCGACGATAAAAATTCAAAATTTATAGAAATCGGGATAATTTAGTCACAATAGTTGGTTTAGGAAAATTTTCTATGGCTGGAATTTTTTCGGGTAGAGGAGTGTCCTAACTGAGTTAACCATCTAACTTCTCTAAGGGGCTTTAGATGTTTTTCGCTTCATGAGGAAGTGATAAAAATGTCTTCTATATAAATGAAACAGTTCGAAAAATCTTTCATAATTCTGTCTTTCTATAGTTTGCACAACATACCTTTAACCAGAAATCATCAAAAGTAAATTCAAATAAACTAAATGACACTATAATTGCAGTTAAAGAAGATGTGTTCTTTATTCATAGGCACCTGCTTAACAACGTTTTTTATATATAGATTAGAAAATGCACATTAAGCATGCAAATTTGTTGAAAAATCATGTATGTGCCTCATTGGTAAATTATCAAGAACCTTCATGGAATTAAGCACACGAGTGTCGTCACATGATCGCCATGTGACATCTGATTTCTCAACCATGTGCAATGAATTACTGGAAGTGCTTTTGGATATACCTTTTTTGAACAAAATACTCTAATTTAAATTTTGCAGCAGCTAATTTTTCGGGGGATAATCGTTTGACTTTGATAACAACAGGCGATCGCTTAATTTTTATTACGAGCATAAGCGTCCGAAGATCATCCTTTTTACACGGACATTTTGGAACATCTTCGAATTAAGATTCATTCTCCTTAATTAATTTATTAAATTTCGAAGATGCTACTCATCTTTACAGTAATTTTGGGTGATAATTCATGAGAATTTTTACCAGAAGTAGAAGCGTTAGTCAAACGGTTAATTAGTCTCTGTATTCTTATATCCAAAGACATTTATTTTTGAGCCATCAGCAACTAATAAATTCAGAGAGAATCTGCAACTGAAAAACAAGATACGTTGCTACATTCGGAGTTCTTTTAACTCTCTAGGCACTGAGTTTTTTTTTTTAGTTTGTTTTTCATTTTCAAAATTTAGTCTGTATTTAAAACTCTATCATCTCTGCCTTAAATTTTTTATTTTTATTTTGAGAAGCAACAGAGTGAAATTGAAGGTTTAATATTAGACTTAAAATTATGTACACCTTGAGGCAAATTAAGCTTTTTTCCGTGGCAGGGTGCCAGGACACACAATTAGGAAGTTCTTGGTTTCAATAATTAGAGAAAAAAAAAGAAAAAAAAAAGCCCTGATGGAGAGGAATACTTAAATGTAAAATTTACATTGAAATTCAGTACTCGTAAAAAATATTGTTAAAATTTGAGACTAACTTATTTTCTTTAGCAACTCGAATTACTTTTTACCTTTTCATCCTTTATGGAGACGTCCAAGCTGACGTCACTCTAGTTACCTATTCACTGAAAATCCATAGATAATCAATCCGGTACAACTAACAAGAATGCCTTTCTGAACGGATAGGAATATGAGTCGGTTTTATAGAAATAGTATAAACAACTGGTTGCCATCCAGTACAACAAAAATACAACTGATTGACTTATTCCTCTCAAATTATGTAGCTCAGCTTCTAACCTTAAAATCTCTATTACGATAAGGAAGTTTTAGAAGGTTTTCTTACTCTTTTGGGATTCACCAGGGAAAATATTTTGCCCAGAAATATTTTCTCCGTAATTAGTATCAATATCATCATCGTTTTCAACATATTCCTTTTCATTGTCAATGGTTGATTTCTTCTCAATATCTAAGAGCAGTTGAAGAAAGTCGTCTCTAGTCTATAAAGCATAAAGAGAATTCAGTACTATTTATATTTAAAGATGATTAATTTTCAGCAAAGTGATTAAACTAAGGTCCTTTTTCATTCATTACATTTAAAAGAAAGAAACCCTTCATATCAAATTCTCTTTCAAGTACATCATTCATTTAAAATTGAAACTGTACAAAAAAAATGAGTTCAGATGAAACAAGAATACACAATAAAGTTTATTAAATGAATATATCATTAAAAAAATCATTTTGAAAATAAATTATGACTGGATTACGTCTTTCCTCTCATAACATCAGCTTACCCTGTCATACTTTGCTTACAGTTGAATATTAAAAAAAAAATCAGCTTCAAACTTCATAGTTTACTTTTAATCTATCGAATGAACTCATTTTTTACTATACTTTAAATTTTAAATAATTAATGTTGTGTTGAAAGAGAATTCACCATGTAGGATTTCTTCCGAGGTGTAGCATCCTTTAAATAAGGGATAAAGTTTTTCTTATGTTACATCAGGGTCTTGGGTATGAACATCACTTTTCAGAAATGAATAACTTAATCTGTCTACATTAAAGCAGTCTGTTTGTATTACTCATACGCACAGAGATATAGAGTAAATATTTTAATTCAGAATTCACTATCTTCCTTTGCAATTGCTTATGTGTTGTCTGAAAAACTTTTCATTCTAAATTTCCTGAGCCAGAAAGGGTAGAAGTAACCCATATGAAACGGATTATTAGTCTAATGTAGTGCAATAATAGTGAGAGTTTTGACACTGATGGTCACATAAGATTACGTCTGAATTTGGACACAATGACCTGATGAGGATATCGAGGTATGACGAGGTATTACGGTCTGTGGATGGTGCTTTCAGTAGAAATGTAAACAATAACAATCTCGAGCTGTATGCCTGCTCTAGTTCCGGTAAGAAAGTTTGCAGCTGCTTACTACATGTTATTCTGCGAGGCGATATTTTCAAACGGATAATTTTGTTTTCAATAAAAGAAATAAATTAGATGATTTCTGAGCTCAAATCTGCAGTATTTCATAAGATATTAATGTTATTATTTAATTCTGGTGAATTTGAAGTGAAAATTTGTTTTAGTTATTTAGAGATATATAGTAAAAAAAGGTGACATGGTTGCTAGATTTTGAATAACTCGCTTTTTTGGCAGTCTTGATATGAAGAAACAAAAAAGTTC